CTTGAGGCTCCACAGACTCCAGGGTTGAGAGACTTCAAATTATTAGGCTTTGGAGGGTTTCGGAAATTTCAGGTTCTGGGCATTTCGCTTTGGGGTTCTCAAGCTTTTCGGATTCACGGATCTTCACAAATTGCAGTGGCGTGCAGGGACGTGGGGTGCTTGCGCTGGCAGCTTGCAGAGGGAAGGTAAGCGTCCTTTGCAAGCGCAGCTGCATAGTTGACTGCAGCCGAGTGTCGGCCTCGACCAAAGTGTTGGCACCCACTTCACCTGACAAACTGCGAGGGTCAGGGTGCGGCATCCCAAGTAATATAAGAGTCTAAGTTTTAGTATGATTCATCTTCTTCCTACTATAGTCATCATTGCCACTAACATGGCAAAACACGGAGCGACGTACTTTACAGGTCAGCCTGCATCTGAGGAGAGCCCTTCGGAAGGATGGCACCTAAACTTGCCGACCAGCCCAGGGATTCCGACTCTCCCTTGTTTTCGGATTCTACGCTCTTAAGATTTAGGGTTGCTGGTTTACTGAATAGATAGGTAGATAGATAGATGGAACTCATCTTTGTGGGTCCTGGGTTCAAGGCTTTCAGTGGGATTTTTGCCTCTGGCGTTCAACCAATACCTCTTCGCTGCACTCACTGAGGAACATTGTCCGCGGGAGTGAGCTCTCTTGCTTTGGCTGTCTTCGGGACAGCAAAAATGAAACATGTTCCCAACATGCAGGAAGCCAGTGGAAAGGATGCAATCCAATTTTAAGTTCAAGAATCTTCCACTGGCGCCCAAACTTGGTTGTCTCGAAGATTGCAAGTGTAGAAGTAAACATTGTCTTTGATAAAGACGCCGGCCGCATCCCACTCTAAGCAAAGATCTTGTCCCCGCGGTTGAATCGTCCCATCGGAGTTATAGATGAATTTCTGAGCTGCGGAACCGTCGCAATCCTGCAGTGTGGCGTCCTGTTTGGCCAAGTTCCTGGCTGTCTCGTTCACATCCAAGAGTTCAGGGAAGTCCTAGGCTCACCAACCAAGCTGACGACCACAAACACTAGCCTTCATGTGCCAGTCCTTCACGAGACGTCCCCAAGACCAAGTCGCGTGAAATCAACTGGACATGAGAAATGGTGGCGCTCCAGCTATGATCCATGACACAGCACACAACAAGTGCACAAACATCTGACATGTCAGAGAAGGGACAAAGACGGCACGTTACAATCAAAAGAGAGTCTCGTTCGAAAGTTACCTAGTGTGACACACAGGTACACAGGTCGGTAAGTGAAACAACGAGATGCTTCATGCCCAAAGGCATCTCGAAATCCCGAGCCTTTGACACAAAAGTTCTCTGAAAGCCTGAATATGTGTTTGTATGTATATGTGTGTGTATATAGACATATATAAAGACAGAAATATACGTGAGAGAGCCTGTGACAGAATATATGCAAACCCACCCTGCCGACGTTGGTACCAAAGGGACCTCAACCGACAATTCCATAGCCAAGCTTCGGACACCGTCAGACAGGCGTCTCCATGCACCAAGGCAGAAGTCGCGAAATCCCACTGCCACTTTGGACAATCCCCCGCCACGTATGGAACAGCTTTCACCTCCTTGGATCTGAAGCTTCCAAGGAGATGCTTGGGCTTGGGCCGAGCTTCCTGGCCCTGGAAAGCCAAGCAGTGCGTGTTGACCTTCCAGGTTGGGAAGTAAGTCACGAAAAACTGCCTCAGCCGGTTGCATCTTCGCCCAAACTTGGTTCTTCTGTTCGTTGCATCTGTAGAAGTAGACATTGTTGGTGCGAAACAGCCCACCCGCATCCCAGTCCAAGCAAAGAGAATCCTGCATTTCAAGATGAATGGTGCCGTCTGGGAGGAAAGTCACGCGCTGTTCCTGAAGGCCAGTGCAGTCCTGAAGCACGGCATCCAGCGCAGAAGACTCGTCACGGAGGGTCTGATTGAGTTCATTCTGTGCAAGGGCTTTCGAAAATGCCACTGCCGTCACACACTTGTCATCCAGAGCCTTCAGCTGACCGTCTTCAAACGTGAAGCGCTGCTCTTCGATACCCAAGCATTTGTTACCAATCAGCTCCTTGTCTCGGAATGTGGTGAGGCACACGTACTCAACTTCACCCTCCGAGGACGGCCATGAAGCTTGCAGCATGAACTTCTCTGTGGTCGTCGTGCTAGTGGTCGTTGTTGTGGTCGTGCTGGTGCTGGTGGTGGT